TCTTTATTTTCGTGGTCACGTGCTATTTATGGCACACGATGCCAGCTTTCCAGTTAGGAAATTTTCCTTTAAAAATAAATCAACTCCACGCAGAGGCTTAAATAAATAATAGCACAGGTGGCGCGCAGATGTGACCAATGGCGAAAGTGTATGCCAACGGCTGAAGTGTGGGAAACAGTGGTATGAAGTGTTTGCGCGGCGGTGGGAGAAACGCTCAGAAGGAACGCTCGCCGGAGAGAGACAGCCACACACGCCGGACTGAAGACGCTCGCATCTCCGTGTCTGACTTTTTCCGGCTCCCGTTTCCTTTCCAGGAAACCTGCAGAGGGCAGGCTTGGAGACACACAGGTAGCGCTGCACACATGGCAGGAAACGAAGACCCCGCGTTGGAGCCGCAGAGGCAGCAGCGGGGCCCCCGGAGCACGCGGCACCGTCCTGAGCTTATCTGTCACCTGTAACTCTGCGGCCCACCAGTGCCAGTAATTTCTTAATGGGGTCTTAAGTAATGGCCTTTTAGGCAGACCACTGCCGCCGCCGCCGCCGCCGCCGCCGCCGCCGCTGCTGTTTTCATGTGAAAGAGTCAGGAATGGTTTTCACGTCCCGGAGGAGATATGTCTCTTCTACCATTTCTTTTTGGAAAGCACCACCTTGCCTCTTGCCTCCTTTTGAGAGCACAAGGAGTGTAAAAAATGTTTCTCTTCCCTCCTAATTTGACCATTAGGAACCCCGTCCCGGCAGGGCCTGTGGGCCGGTAAGAGAGCCCAGTCTATTTTTAGGGAATAGTTGCCGTGTGGATGCAGTGGCGACTCCTTCCTGTCCCCTTCTCTCCCCGGAGCCCCGCCACGTAGGAGACCCCCATGAAGAAACCGCACCTGCTCAGTCACCTGCCCCAGCCACAAGCATCAGAAACGGCCTCTGGCTCCACATCCGCAAGGGGACGATTATTGAAAGAATGCGAGTGGTCGCTGGGAGACTCGCGGGCGGGCCGGACAGCCAGCTGGGATGTGGGCAGGGACCAGGACACCGCAGCGGGGGGAGTCGGGTCAGGGAGCCCCTCGTCCGCGGCGGCGCACCTGGGAGAAGTGAGCCCCGCCCATTTCTCAGTCTCTGCGTCACTCTGTCCAAGGTCCAGAGCTGAGGGGGAGGACGTCGGATCGTGTCGGCTCAGGGTCACCTCCCGCCCTTTGTGACACACCTGGTGTCACTCCCACTAGGCTGTATCCCGTGGGACGAGGTGAGGAGGGATCCGACAGGAACGTGAGCTCCGGCAGGAGAACCGAAACGGATGCTCCAGTTTGGAAGACAGACCGGGACCGATAATGCCGAGGCTGGGGGCGTTTCGCCAGTGGGAAGTCCGTGGCTGGGCGCGTGACACGGGGACGTTTGCGCAGACCGTTTCTGGGCCCAGCCCAGAGGCAGTGACTGTGGCTTTCATTTGAATATCGTCACTGTGCTTTTTGTTAATAACCGGTGTTTTTCTACTCTCCCAGTCATTTACAAAATAGTAGAGCGGATGTTCTTAGAGTGCTTAAAAAAATCATTGATGCCCTGTATTGTTTTAGAAGCCAAGCGTATATTTATTTTTGTGATCATTCTTAGCAAGGATCTTTTTTTAAAAAGACAGGTCCCAGTGCCATACGAAATCCGCACCATCACCCACAGCTGCTGACCACTGGCAACTCAGCTGACAGCCCCCCCGACCACATGGCCATTGATACATATTAACTATCAGAATCACGAAAAGTTTAGCTCTGCATGGCAGCATTATAGAATGGTTATACACGCGTGTCATGGACTCCAGAGCCAGCTACCTGGGTGCGCGTTACTTAAACACCCTGTGCCTCAGTTTCCCCCCCTGTGACGTGGGGATGACGAAGCCGCCGCGACCTGCCTCGCAGTCTGCTGTGAGGGGTCAACGAGTGAGGACTTGCCCAGCGTCTAGAACAGTGCCTGGCTCTCGGGCCGCGTCCTGTGTTACATAAAAGATCTTTTCTTGTCCGTGTTTTTTTGCTGCTTTGACACGCTGAGATTCTGTTTTAGCTGCAGGAGGGTTCGAGTGTGGCTTTGGCTTCTATTAAAGCCGCTTTGATCTCTCGGTTCAACCGTTTCAGCAAAGCACGCGGTTGCCGCTTGCCGGGGCTCCGGTGTGGGTGCATTTTCTGGCGCTCTTTGATAAGGAGCGTGCTATGAGCATTTGGCGGGAGCGCGACAGCTTGATGTCTTTCCACGAGAACTTCTCACATCAAAGATTATTTCCCTGAAGCCCGGAGTTGAAACAATATATTTCGCTAGAAAATAAATAAGCTTGGAAGGAGGAAATGAGAATTTTCTTTGTGGCTTGCGATGCCTTCGCCTTTTAAAATTTCATAACATGTGCTTTCATTAAACAAAAATATCCACCCTTCTTTTTTTCTCTATCTTGTGTTTTGTTCCACTTGGCTTCACTAAGAGATTTGAAAATGAACTGATGTGGAAGGTAAAACCCAGAGAAACTTAAGGCAGTTTTTAGACTCAACTTGAAAGTTGCCGTTTTACCTTTGGTTAAATTTTACTTTAAGCGTTAGGCGTTTTGGTGGTCTTATAAAAATTTGATTTTTCTTCCTTGACAAATTACCTTTCCCTGAATAGTTAATCATGAGAGCAGAGGCATGCTAATGAGATTAAAAAAACAAGAGAAATTTCTAACTAAAAGTTATCATAAGTAAAATATTTAATATTACTTCAACAATTAATAATGTAGCGCCAAAAGGTTTTCATTGGACTGTTCACTTTTTTCACAATGAGGGTTATAATATAATTCAATTGTTGAGGATAATTTGAACAAAAGGAATCAGAAATGAGAAATAGAAAGGTAGGGTCAGTGGTTGTTCATTTAGCAAATATTATTAGGCAAAGAACTGTATGTGGAGCATCCACATGGCCTCGGGAGGGACGTGGAGACGTCCAAGGAGAAGATATAGACAGGTGTCACGAAAGCTCGGCCCCTGTGTGTGGTAGGAGGTGTTAGGAGGGTTTGGGGAGGAGATGTCACTTCTGGGCAGGGTGACGGGACGGTGTCTCAGAGAGAAACTGCCTGCATCTTGGAGTAAGAACAAGTTTTGGGGACAGAGGGTGCCATTGCTGGTAGGGAGAATTTGGGGACACAGGTAGATACAGCTGGAGTACAGCAGGTAAATAAATAAGTAGGTAGGCAAGTGTTCCATAACCCACGTGAGCCTTTTATGAGCTATTTGATGAAATACTTTGAACAGAAACCAGAGAGGTGGCAGAGCATGGTTTGAAGAATTCGGGCTATAGAGTCAGACTGCCTGAATTTGAACACTGGCCCGCTAACTTTCTAGCTGTGCAATCCTGGTACAGTCACACAGCCTCTCTGAGCTTCGGTGTCCTCATGTCTAAAAGGCAGGTGATGATACCAGGATGGAGAAACGAGTTCATGCATGTGAGGGACTTAGCACAGATTCGGCACAGAGCAAGTAGCCAGGAAGTATTAACTATTAACCGGAAGTATCTTTAAAGAGAAAAACTCACAGCTACAACAGGGCATTGACGTTTGACTTTTTGCTTCTGCTGGTATAGCAGAGACCACGTCCTGGGCCTAGTTCTAACCGGGCACTGGATATATTTTAAGCGGTTCTTGAGCAACGGAAGACCCAGAGAGGCCCATGACCGTGCACAAGGCTGGTGCGTTGCGTGGGGGACCAGACGCTGGCGGCCTGTGTCCAGGCCCTCCCCCCAGTCTCTGCTGCCTCTAGCAATCTACACACCAGTTTGCTTAAACGCAGGGGCCTGTCTTCAAGGAGCAAAAATCACAGGTGTAGCAGATCGGTTCGAAAACGTTGCCATTAGTTTTTGCACGAATTCAACACACGTACTGTCGGTCTCCAGGGATGAGACGGGACAAGCCACAGTCCCTGCCCCGAAGGACGTGTTCCTTCCAGATGCGGACGGGAGTCCAGACTCAGGGACACTAGGCTGTGACTAATGAACAGACGGCCCTTGGCCTTCTGGAAAACTGAGATGGAATTCACACGCCATAGAATTTACCATTTCAAAGCGCACGATACAGGGGGTTTTAGTTATTCGCAAAGCCACGCAGCCATCACTCCTGGTTTCAGAATATTTTCCTCAACCCAGAAGGATGTCCCGTATGTATTAAGCGGTCACTTCCCATTTCCCCTTCACCCAGTAACTCCTAATTAGCCCCTTGGTCACCCCCCGTAACCACTAATCTACCCTATGGATTTGCCTATTCGGACGTTCCGTGTAAATGGACCCCATGACACGTGGTCTTACCCAGCACGGTGTCTCTAATCCACACGGTAGCACGAATCGCCACTTCCTCTCTGGGGCCAACGCTCCATTGGATGGATAAACCCTTGGTCATAGATTTACTGAGGGTTCCCACTCATTCTGCCTGAGAGTTTTTCTGGCAAAATCCTCCTGCATCATGTAAGTGAGCGAATCTCAATGCAGCGTCGTGCTATCCCGTTTCTGGAACGACTCTGTTTCGAGACCTTAGGTCGGCCGACGCCTTCTCGCCCGCCGCACCCGGCTCAGCCAGGACAAGCAGGAGCATAAACACATATTTATTTGGAATCTTATCGCCCTTCTTTCTCTTTTTATTGCCATTATTGTTTTCGTTATTTAGTAGCTGGGCTTGGGGTACTGTTTCCAACTTGCTGATTTTTCCCGTCTCTGGATTGCTGAGTCCGGCCCTATTGCGGGCACGTGGGATTCGCTGGAAACGGATTCATTTCAGGCTCTTGCTGAAGTTTGCCTTTGTCTCTTTGCAGGTTGACCCGGTGCTTACGAGGGAAGTAAAAGCCAAAGTGCAAAGGTGAGGCGGGTGGGGACAGGCGTTCTGCAACGGGGCAAACCCGAGAGGCTGGTCCACGTTGAGACAGTCCCGGGCACTGTTCCATGCGGTTTCCGTGTACCCCCCCATGTAATTCTCCCGACGGCCCTAGGAGATTTCCGGCACTGTTATTTGCCCATTTTACAGGCAAGAAAATTGATTTACTGAGAGCGTAAGACGTACGGCCTGACCAGTTACCAGGAAAATGTCAATGAAAACCACTTTGGGATTATAATTTTTACTGATGACATGGGAAAAAATTGAAAGGACTTAATGTATTAAGAGTTTGGAGGAATGGAGGGAAACTGCCTCATTCTCAGACCCTGCCGATGAAGGGGACATTGGCGCAGCCACTTTGGAGAGCAGCTTGTCAGGGTGTTGGTCACAAATTGCATTTGTGTGCCGGGAGCCCACGAGCACCGGCTCAGACAGGTGGAGGCCTCCTCGCTCACGCACAAAACCTGAGTGTAATCGGCTGAGGACTGGCGTGGAGGCTCCCTGGAGACATCGGGGCCTTGGGGCATTTGGTCTCTGTCCTGCCTTTGTGTAGCCTGTGGCCCCCATCCTGCCGCTGGCAAGGTGGCCCTAGAACCACATCTGCCGTGGTTGTCATTTTAACTGGGGAGACGGGAAGGAGCGGGGGGGCCAGAGGGACCCATCCCCCGCCTAGGTCAGCCCCCTGCAGGGCGATTTCTCACAGCCCCCAGGATTCCAGCTGGATCCCATGGGCCAGCCCAGCCATGCGGGGGTCTAAGCAACACTGACTTTATCCCCACGTACAATCGGGGGTCTTTAAACTGCTCTGAGATTTAGGCGTACGAACGCAACAGGAAAACCAGTTACGCGAAGGAAGGGACGTGTATCAAAAGCATGAGAGAGTCTGGGCGTGGGGAAGGGTACCAAAGACAGGTGCAGCTTTAGAATACATTGTTTGATGGAAAAAACACACTCAGGCAAAACCTAGATGACAAATATCTGTCGACTCTGCCGGGAATATGAGCTCGTGTTGCATTATCCTCTCTATTCAAGTACTTCTGTTTCTCTCTGTTTATGATTTCTGTTCTTATTGTGCCTTTAGTATTTTTTTAAATTATTTGAAAAAATGGTTGAACTATTAGAAAAACGTTTTCTAGACCATAGAGAGAAAATGTCAAAAAACCTTCTCTCTGACTCTTCCGGTATTTGAGAGCAGGTGTCTTTGTCGTGCGCATTGGGGACAGGAACAGGCATGTTAACTGGCTCCCTCCCGCCCCGCCAGGGATGTGAACTGTGACGAAGGCTCAGCCCACACGGTTTCCCTTACTGCACCCCGTGGCAACAGTGCTTGCTTTGCCACCCAGAGTCTTCCACCCAGATTGTCACCGCTCCTCCTCCTGGGGCCCCACCCACGGGCGTCCTGGAAGCAGACCTGCCCCCGCTCCATCTCGTTTCAGGGCCGCTGGCGTCCGGCAGATCGGAGAGCTGCCCCAGGAAGACCTGCACGCGGCCGTGAAGAACTGCTTCGCGGTGGTGAACAGCTCTGTCTCCGAAGGCATGTCGGCTGCCATCTTGGAGGTAATTGCGTAACCCGAGCACCGACAGCGGGAGTATGGAATTGTCCTTCACTCCTTTTCGTGTTTGTGGAGGGACGTCTTTGTCAATAAAGCTCCGTACTTCTCAAAGCTGAAAGAGCAAACCGGCGTTTCCGTTGGTGTTTAAAAGGACTTTCAAAGTTCTGTCTGGGAATTTTTTTAAAAAATACCATTGCATTTCTCATCGCTGTTTCCCTCTGCCAGCCACAATGCAAAATACAGCTGGGATGGCAATGCCTCTCTGACCTCCCGAATACCTTTGGCCCCAGGGCAGCTGAGGTTATGAGAGGTCGGGCGGGAAATGGATGAAGGTGCCTTTTTGCACGAAGCCTCCTTTAGCTCGGTCTCTTCTCCCTCTGTCCGCACGTTCTGTCATCCCAGGATTTGAGGGAGAGGGAAGGGCTGGACTTCTGCAGGTGGCAGGAGAGGGGGATGGGGTGGCAATCACAGGTGATGATGGGGTGGCTGGGACCAGGGTGGACCCATTCTCATTACCCAGAATTCCGCTCCATCACTTCCTCTCCTTTGGCCACGTGCGCATTCCCAGCACCTCTGCGGCCTCCTGCCGGGACACGCGTGTGCAGGGCCGAGGCTGAGTAAGAGGGCTCCGCTCCCGAAACCCTGGCGGGCCCTGGCTTGGCCGTGCTGGCTTTTCCTTAGATGGGCCTGACAATCCCTGCGCCTCTTTGCAAGGTGACTGCCTACAGCATCTCTTCTTGTGTGAGAGTGTCTGGGGACAGGGTGTCTTCACTGCTCCATGCTGGGTTCTAGACCAGCATGTGTCTAACAGAACGATCCTCTTTCCCTGAGTCTGTCGTTGGCTCACGGCATCGAGGACTCCTCCAGCTGAAGAGCCAGCTCCTCGAGGACCGGGCTCAGCTGGCGCCTGGCGAAACAGGCCCTAGGCACTGGGTGTGCTTCGTGTCATTGAAACTCAAGCCACTGCAGGCGTGGTAGCTCTCAGCACATGCATGGCACGTGACAGGCATGACGTAAGCATTGGCCGATGAGCACGTGACAGAACCCACTGTAGGAGGGAAAACGTTTGGCCGCTGGCTGCCGAGGGCTTTGAGTCGGGTTTCGCGTGTTCTTTCTTACTACGTGGATCTCTTATTTCCGTGTCTACGTAGAGTGATGCTGTGACGGTACCATACATATTTGTAACATCCAGTTCTCTCTTTGGATACCAGTGGAATATACCGAATTTACTGACCAAGGGTACAATTTACGAACCTTAGTTTTTCGGAGAACGTGGTAAAGTAGGGAAAAAAAATCCTCTCCCTAAATTTAAGAAATGACCGATATGTGTGCCTACTATATTCTTTTAATTTGGCATCATTTTAAAAAGGAAAATTAAAAAAAACACCCAAAACAAAACGCACAGGGGAGTTGGTAGAAGACTCATGCCCACACCCGTGAATGAATCTAGCATTGGATGCTTTGGTAGCAGCATCGCACGTGGCGAGAGTTTGTGACATCTTCATCTTCAGCCAGATGTCAACACCTCCGTCCACGCTTGGCGATTAGTATCAATCTCCACCACGCCTTCAAATTCGCTTTCAACCGCAGTCGCCGGAGCAACACATTTCACTCTACATATTAGCTTTAAAAATGTGCCTTGTTCTGGTGCCGGTACTTGAGCTATTGCTGAATTGCTCCTTTGTATGTAAATATATTTGTTTTCCCCCCAACTTCTTAAGGAAAGGTAAAGTGGAATTCGGGGATGATTTCAGAACCAGCACACACAGCATTTTGCTGCAGATGAGTCGCCCTCAAACCTCATCTACTTCAAAGGAAAGGCAGCTGTTAGCAATTCTGGCTGCCTTAAAATGTTGATGTTGTGTTCCTTTTGAAAACTCCAAAATAACCTTTGGGTGAAGGGTTTTGAATGCAACTGATTTTAGAGGCGTGGAGAGGGTGGGTTTCATTAGAATCAATTCAAATGACCCAAGCGGCTAATCATGCCGTAAATGCCCACTGCTCTTGAAGGAAGTGATCTTTCGACCTTTCAGAATTAGCTATATTTTCCTGTGGAAGCGTATAAAAATCCCATTTGCTGAAACATATTTCTTGCTGATAAACTCCAAAAAGCAAGCTTTAGCTGGATGTGTGGGCAGCAGGGTGAATGTTCCAACAACTAACCGGTTGTTTCAAGTTTTGAGCTTGTTAGGGAATTGGGTCCTGCAGAAAGTTACATTAAAAGAACATCAAAAATAATTTTCGTATCCTGTTCTTCCTAATTAGGCTTTTCTCCCTGCTGCAGAACACACACACACACACACACACACACACACACACACACACACACACACTGCCCAGGAAAATGAAAGGGCCATCGTCTAAAGCAAAGAACAGGCAGGGAGATGACTCTCAGCCTCTTAGCTTCTGGGGTCGAGCCCTAGTGAATGAGAACCAGGTGAGGGCGTTTCGAAGACCACGTGATTATGCGTCATTTGACCTTGACTGATTCTGAAGTGTGTGTGTGCGTGTACGGTAGTACTTTGCCTCACTCACTTTGGAAGGTGAAGGGCTTTCTGAGTTGTCATAATTAGGAAGATGCTACTGGCGTTTATCCAGGCGTGAGGGGCTACAGGGAGGGGGAGTATCGCTCAAGGTACTGGACAGTCCTTTGCATCAAAAAATTGTCCCCAGAATGCCCCCATTGGCATTCCTGCCGAGAAACACCCTAACCCCGGTGATGCGAGGTCCACACGGGCCATGTGTGCATATCAGGGGCACGTCCAGGCCAACGCCACCTCCATGTGACACGCAGTGGCCACTTGACGCTCTCAGTCAAGGCCATTGAAGTGCAAGCTAACCTTTCTGCACGAAAATCTAGACACGGTGGTTTTCAGCCTTGGGTGTGCATCAGAATTACCTTGCAGCTTAACACATTAACTGCCACGTGAGTTGTATTTAACTCACGCTAGTTTCGAGCCCGGGGCGTCGTGAAGCATACGTAACTCACACATCCCTTTACCTTGAGCTACGTTAACTATTTTTCAAGTTGCATATAACTGATGCACAGAAAACAATAAAAAATAATAAATTTTTCATTAAATTAGAAAGAATCATTTTTTTTCGAAGTTCTTATTCTATTTTCATAATATTAACAAAACACCGTGGCCCCAGGGAAAATTTTTTTTTCTAGTGTGGCAGCCAATGTGTTAAAAAAACATAAATACAGATGACGGGTGCTCAGTCCCCCCCAAAAAAACTGGGTTTCACTTGTTTTGGGGTGGGGCCTGGTGGCCGAGCATCTTGCAGCATTCTGCAGTGTAGACCAGAGGTGCTGTGTCTGCAAACCTTGGCCAGCTCTGCTGAAGACGGTGGACTCACCACACAGGCTCTTACAAAGAGTCTACAAATAGGAAGTTTCCATCCCCCTGATAAGAGGCTGAGGGGCTCACCTGAGGAAAATAAGAATTCGAGTGAGTTTTCACAGGAGCAGAGAGTAGCATGGAGGTTATCGGAGGCTGGGGGCTGAGAGGAGTGGGGAGATGTTGGTCACAGGACACAGAATCCCTGCTGGGAGGGACAGGTTCCAGAGCGCTATTGTGCGTCATGGCAACTATAGTTAATAACACGGTATCGTATCCTTGGAAACTGCAAGAGTAGATGTTAAGTGCTCTTGCACAAAAAGATGCGCATGAAGTCATGCCTGTGTTTGAGAGCTTGGTGTGGCCATCCCATGACGCGTGCAGACATCCAAACATCATGCGGCACGCTGCAGACATACACGAATTTTACTTGCCAGTTGAAATCTTAAAAGAAATCAAGTGAGTTCAAACACCAACAGGTGCCAGACGCGTCTTGTGTTCCGACATTTCAAGCGTCTCAGTCCCAGAGCGGCGTCCTGACACCGGGCCGGGACTGCTCTGCTCCAAGTCCGTGAGTCACTCCACAGGCCTCTCGCTGCTGACTCAGAGCACACCCACCCCCAACCCCGTCTCTCACGGCAGCGCCAGCCCCGCTCCCGCAGCTTCGCGCCACTGTCGTATCCGGGAGTTCTTCTCTTCTGTCAAACACACATTTTGTTGGTTTCTAGAGAGGCGACTTCAGAATTAGTTTTCTGTAACTGCTCAGGCCTCAGATTCCACGTACGTCTCTTCTCTCCCCACCTCGTCACGGCGTCACGACCAGGGTGTCAGGGAGTGTTGTTGCATCCTTTCTGCTGAACCCCATTTTTCCCTGAAGGCGGGGCCTCGATCTCTGTCCCCCGTTGCCCAGCGCAGAGCCATGGCCGTCAGGAGACACTAGGGGTGGATATGTTCTTCCTTCTTTCACTCAACAAATTCGTCGAGTGCCTGCGCTGAACTGGCACTGGGCCAGGCTGCGAGACACAGCGCAGTTTGATAGTTTTTAGAACATCCACGAGTTGCAAACCATCACCACTCTCAAGTTTAGAAAGTTTTCATCAACCCCCCGAAAACTCCTGGACCTGTTACCAGTTACTCCATTTCCCTCCCGCAACATTGCACCCCGTGTCCCGCCCCCCATCCCTAGGCAGCCACTGACCTGTGTCCCTTGACCCGGCGTCCTTAACCTTTGAGCGCCTAGAAACAGAGCCAGCAAAACGCTGCCCGACCACGTGGCCGAGGCCAAGGCTGCCTGCGTGTTGTGCTTTCGGGGAACCCTCTTGTGGTCTCGCAGCCAGTGCGTGCTCGGTTGTGTGTGGGGCGTCGCGTCCTGGTCCCCAGACCTTTGGGAAAGGAAAGCCGGTCTGGCGATAATCAGGATGATAGATCATGTTCCTTCTTCCTCTGTCTGCGAGCCAGAGAGACGTGTTTGTGGCTTGTGGCGTTCACGCTGCTTGTGCTGGAGGCAAATGACTCATCAGAGAGAGCAATGGCAGTGATTGAAAACACTGACTCCAAACGGCCGGTGAAGAAGTGTCAGTGAACATTCGCAGACAGGGGTTTCTCTGTAGCACGGCAGTAATTACGTCAGACAAACTGTTACAGTTTTTCGGAGCTTCCAACTACAGTAACGTCGTTAAAATTCAGCAGGAGTTTGAACGTGCAGTGTTGGGACGGGGACGTCATTTTGGCAAGGTGCGCGTTTCGCGGGGCGCCGGAGGTACCCGGGGAGCTGTTCTCCCACAAGTCGGCCGCTCTCGGCACAGCAGCTCTAAGGTGACTGCCCACCTGTCCTCCTTCCTCCTGTGTCCCCAGGCGATGGACTTGCAAGTGCCGGTGCTGGCGAGGAACATCCCGGGGAACGCCGCGGTCGTGAAGCACCAAGTGACGGGATTGCTGTTTTCAGACCCTCAGGTAAGGAAAAGTCCTTTCCCTGCGTTCACCTTGTGGGAATAGTTTTCACCCGCATTTCCTTACGCGCGTCTGGGTTTCCGTCTTTCTGCTCACTGTTGGTGTTCCCGTTGTAGTCAGTAGGCGCCCACTAGGGAGCGTGGCTGTCTCCTGGGCAGCGGCGTGGATGTGCCACTGCAAGAAACGTCAGAAGTTTCAAGAAACAGGAGCGCTGAGTTCCGTTTCCGATTCTGCCCCCGAGCTGGGCTACAGGGCTACAGCCTGAGATAGCAGAGGCAGGACCCGGGGGTTTGTCTTTTGTTATCTACAAAGGCAGACGTGTCTAGCAGGCGTGTCTAGCACTCAGGCCTTTGCTTCCCAGAGCGGTACCTAACAGCCGGGACGGTATCGGGGCATGAGGAGTTTCCAGTAGTCACTGGTTGCTTCTCCAGACAAAGGCTTCTCACTTCTAAGCACACCCTGGATCTCCAAGAATCGGCTCTAGCCGAGCTTCAGGTCACAGAATATTATCTCCACTCTGCAAAAATGGGTTTTCTTTTCATCTCCCCAAATGCAATGCCCATTTATTTTATAGCTCAATTTCAGAGCACCAAAAACAACCCGCTATAGCTTCATCAGCGAGGGTCTGAATAGCAATCTCTCATAACGGGTATATCAGGCAGAATGGAGGAACGAGAGTGGTTTGGCTACCCTGATTTCACAGAGCCCCTTGTGAGATACTCCTTTTAATATCTGCAAATAGCTGTCATGTCTCTGGTACATTCGAGTGGTCTTTGCTCGTCTGTATCATCAGACACAACTTGGAGACACGCACGGAGTTCAGCTGCAGATGTGTTTTGATTCAACCTTTTCAGGTTTCACAAAGGATGTTAAAAAAATGAGAAGCGGCTTCACACGGGAGGAGGCTGCGTGTCTTAACACACTTGGAAAAAGCGCGCTAGACGCGGATGTCACACATGGTTTGGTTTTGTTTTCTTTGTCGTCTCAAACAGACTTTGCCTAGCACAGGGTGGGAGTTCTAGCTTTAAAACAAATACGCACTTTTGATAAGTCAGGAACTGTGGTTATGTTGCTCTCAACGCAGAAACTCAGGCGCAATTAACTGCGGGTCGGTTGCCAGCGTTGGCAAGAGTAATTTTAAATATATATATGTACATTCAGATATGTATTAGAACCGGCACTGCTGTTATTAAGAAGGAACGTGCATGTCAAGGCATCAGCCTTGCAGAGTTAGAAAAGTTCCAGCAAACCATCATGCTGTTGGCGTCTATTTTTGATTTTTTTAAAAAAAAATGATGATTAAACATATTCAGCCATGGTAGGAACAGAATAGTCTCTCTTTTTATAAGCCTCACCTCTGGAAAACTTCAATTTAAGTGAGGCTTTCCAAACCCACTAAACATTGATTTTTCATTACTGCAACGATCCTGTTATTCCTCTTTTTAAGAAGAAAAGTGTTGAGCTATTTTCCTAGGTATTTTATCGCTCCATTTTATAGCTTCAAAATTAAAATCCATTTGGCATTTACTGGAAACTGTGAATCCATACTCTCTCAGGGTCAGACTTTTAAAGTCTAGCTCACGCTCATTTCGCTGGGAGGTTCGGTCTGTTTTGTAGACGACCGCAGGGACAAGATAAATTTCTGCCTAATGAGGATGAGGAGAGCTGGCACTGATCATGAGTGTCGTGTTCCTGGCACTGTCCTGAGTGTCCGTCCCGGTTTACACTTTCACTAGAGAGAGTTTATTTTTCCTTAAGCAATAAGACTTTAGTAGTCAAGCAGCAGTTTAATGTTTGGAAAACGTGAGGTGTGTGGGAAGAATATCGACCTCCAAACTTTTGGTCCAGCGAAGCTGGGCTTTGATCTGGAGTTTTCCACTTGGAATTGAGTGATGCTGGACACGTTTCTCATCTCGTGCTTGTTCCTGTGTGTATAAAATGGAGACAATGACCCATCCTTTGGGAATAACCGAGGGAAACCGGGATGTGGGGTGTTGTCCCTTCCTTCCCCTGCGATGACCACTCCACACTCCAAGGCGGCCTTACTCACGGCTCCTGAGCTGAGTCCTGGGGAAGCCACGCAGTGTATGCAGGTGTGAGCTTCAAGCACCAGACTCCGCTCGCACGGCCACACTCCTGCCCTGCTCGAGGCCGGGGGGACCGAGAGAGGATTTCCCATCTCGCCCTCACACTGGCTCACGTTTTTCCTACGGGATTTGGCGAGGCGGTTGGCCACGGATCCAAGCTGTTCCCAGCGCACTTAAAAGTGTTTGAATAACTGAATCATCGGTTTTGAATTTTAAATTCAAATCTACTAAACTTAAATAATAATTAAAAATGCAGCTTGGAGGCCACATGTCAGGCGCTCAGAGGAGGTTCGTGGGTGTGGGACGGGGGCTCTCGGGGGGAGGAGGGCAGCGGCTGGGTTGTGCGGACGGCTCTGAAGGAGGCTGGGCTGGGCCAGGCTGTGTCTGGGCACCGGGCACAGGGGTGGTGCCCACCCTCCCCACACCCACTGCAGGTGTTCTCCCTGCCTCCCTAGTGCTGCCTGCCGCTCCCTCTGTCTCTGTCTCTCTGTCTCTCTCTGTCTCTCTCTATCCCTCTGTCTCTATATCTCCCCTCCTCTCTCTCTGTCTCTTATTGTCTCTTGCTCTATCTCTCTCTCTCTTTCCCTTTTTTCTCCTCTCTCTCCCTCTGTCTCTCTGTCTCTCTGTCTCTCTGTCTCTTTGCTGCCTCTCAGTCTCTGTTTCTCTCTGTCAGTCTCTGTCTCCTTCTCTCCGTCTCTGTCTCTCTCCCTGTCTCCCCTCCCTACTCTCTTGCTGTGGGAAGGAAGCCGGCCCTTTCCTCACAGTCCTCTAAACGGTTCTCCTCACCCCTGCTGTCCCTTCCTGAGGAGGGAGGACTCTTCCCAAGGCCCTTCCAGCTGCCCAGGGTCCTGGGTCGGATGCCTGCTGGGCAGGGTGGGGGCAGGGCGGGGCAGGTGCACAGGGGGCAGGGCGGGGCTAGGGTCTCCCAGAGCCCCAGGGAGTGACTCTTCGGGTTCAAGAGAGAGAGATTCCTTTTCTTTTCTTTTCTTTTCTTGATGCTGCTACTTCCTTTCTTTCTGCCACCGGCCCAGGGTTCTGTTGATATTATGCCAACAGCCAAGATGTTGCTCACTCTACCCACATCTCCCTTGCTTTATGTTTAAGTCTATGTTTTTTGTTTAGTCTTCCATGCAGAGAGGAAAAAAAATGTATTTTATCACAACCTCTTCCTAGAAACTCTATCATTGAGGATTTTGTTGTAAAACGGCCGTACAACCTATAGAGATAATAAGCAGTGGGGCTGGGTTTCATCCAAAGTCTCTGCCTCCGATAAATCAAAGCTATGACCAGCATCATAAAATAATATCCCAAAGCTGTAAGCCTCTCAAATAATTTTAATAAGAATGTTGTTCTGCTATGAGACGGGAATAAATACGTTATATTTTATCATAAAAATAACACCAATTTACTATAAAGTATAAACATAATACATAAAAAATAATTCTACTCTATCATAAATATTGCTATTTTATATTGCTAGCTATAAAAGGCATTCGACATTTAATTAGCAATAATTTTGAGAATACGTGGACATTCCTTTGAAACATCCAGCACTGTGCATTAATCTTAGGCTTCGTTGCCTTCTCGGAACTTCCGTGGGCTTTGGGGGAATAGTAATAAGAATGATAGTAAGTATGTGCTAGGCTTTGCCCTGAATTCTTTATTTGAATTAACTCATTTAATATCCTCTCAACACCCGAGGAAGCAGGTACTGTAATTAACCCCAATTTATAGCTGAAGAACTGGGGCACAGAGAGGCTAAGAAATTTATTTGGCATCACTCACATAAAGGGTAGGGTACAGATCTAAATCCAGGCCTTCTGGCCCAAGAAGTCTGCCCTTGGCCAGGCACAGTGGCTGACACCTGTAGTCCCAGCACTTTGGGAGGCGGAGGCAGGAGGATCGCTTCAGGCCAGGGGTTCAAGAGCAGCCTGAGCAACATAGGGAGACCCCATCTCTACAAAAAATGTAAAAATTAGCCAGGCATGGGGGCATTCGCCTGTAGTCCCAGCTACTCGGGAGGCTGAGGCAGGAGGATCGCTTGAGCCCAGGAGTTTGAGGTTGCTGCGAGCTAGGCTGACGCCACGGCACTCTAGCCGGGGTGACAGAGTGAGACCCTGTCTCAAAAAAAAAAAAAGTCTGCTCTTGACTTGTATGCAAGCACAATAAATAATGCATGTTCCCCTCCTCTCCCTGAATACTCTTGAACAATCAACATAACTCCATTTTTTTCTAATTCTGAAGAGCTCTGATACTAAATGCTGGCTAGCAGGCCTGCCCTCACAGTGTCTGTGAGCATCAGTCAGGAATGAGCACAAGAAGACCTGTGGTCTGAAGTGAAGCCACAGAAGCAAAGGCAAGAAAAGTGTGGGTGTTAAACCCCTGTCCTCCCTTCTTCACGCAGGGAGCCCGTGGGGCTTGGGGCAGGGCTGGGCTTACAGATCAAGTGCCCATCGCCCTCTATCACTGAGAGATGCGGGGCTCAGAGAGGTTGATTAGCTTGCCCAAAGCCACACAGCTGAGTTAGGGTGTGTAGAGGATTTGAACGCAGACCTGACTCTGAAACCCAGCGCCTTTCACGATACCAGACACCCCCCATAATGTGAAGACACGCTCTGTGCCCAGGGCAGACGATGGAACACGCACAGTGAAGTCGAACGGGGCAGGTGTTAACAGTATTGTACGGTGGGTGCAGCTCAGACTCTGGGGAGAGCCCCAAGTTCACACTCCAGGCACCACTCATAGAGGAGGGACGAAATCGTGAGTCTGAGGATCTGGGTTCTGTTGATCTAGGGAGGCAGGTGGGGGCAGCGTGGTTGGTGGCACCAGTGTTTTCCGTGGATGTTCATCCTGGCGTGCACGCGTGCGCACGTGCGTGTGTACATAGCTGTTATTTCTTCCTCAACCCCAGTGTTTGCACGAACTGCCATCCCTCCTAAAAGCCCTCGCCTCCAGGGTCGGGAGGCGGACAGGAGACCTGGAGCCGAGGCAGACACGGGCTCCGGGATGCACTTGCAAACCCCGCCTTCAATTATTTACATCGGTTTCTCTTCCACTTCCTTTTTTCTTTCTTCTTCTTTTTGCAGGAGTTTGTTCAGCTGGCCAAGAGACTGGTCAGCGATCCCGCATTAGAAAAGGAAATTGTGGCCAACGGAAAGGCATACGTGCGAATGCACCACTCGTGGCGTGTGGAGAGAGACACCTACCAACGCCTCCTCAGGAAGCTCGAGGGAAGCCCCGAGGATTGAGGGGTCCCATCTCCTCGGATGCCTGCCCCGGGATGCACGGCTCAGGGTGAAACCCCAGAGATGAGGTCCTGGGCGGCTTGGGCCAGCCCAGTGCAGATCAAACCGGCCTCCGTGCAATCGTGGACACGGCGGTCGTGAGTCCCCAGGACACTGGGTCCATCCCGAGCCCTCCTGTGAGCTCAGGCCCCACCCCAGGTGTTCACCCGTTGGTCCTGAAGAAGGTGCAGGAGCGAAGTTGGCTGATGGGCGGGGAGGGGTAGCTGGTTCCCAGGGGAATTTGGGAGAGCATTTGATTAGCTGCTCTGGGACTTGGGCACGGACCACCGAGGTTTATTTTCAAGAAGTCACAGTTCAGACCCCCTCGCCTGGCCTCTCAGGGACCTCTACCCATCCCTGCCTGTCCCAAAAGCAAAAGCAAAAATCAGAAATGTCAGCTGAGTGGAGTCCTGGTGGCATTTCTGCCAGGAACGTGGGGCCCTGAGGGCGCAGGTGGCCCCAGGCTTCTCTAAATGCCAGCAAGTGCTCGAATGAGTTCATCCCCGCAGGTCTTGCTCTTCTGGGTGTCATTGAAAGATGGGTGAGCGTTCTAGAAAGGCGGATGGGGGCCGGGGCTTTGGGTGCAGGGTGGCTGTCCATCCCCTTCCAGTGTCGGGGAGCCGGGGAGTGGAACAGGCCACCAGCCTCCCACCCACGGCAAGACCAGGAGTCGGGTCTGCAGGACATTGCGAAGGACGCAGCACGCGTCAGCCCGGGGGCCATCCCAGTGGTCATTGTCACAGTGGCCTGGCCACATCAGCCCATCCTCCCTAAAAGCGGTCGTCACTGTCCTTTGGCAGCTGGGAAAACTTCCAACGGACTCTGAAATCCTTGCCTGCCAGCGGACATGCATTACTGTAGACGGGAGTGGCACGTCCCCTGCCTCTTGTGACACTCAGAGGCGGCGAAGCCACTCAGGGGCCGTGAAGGGTGATTTGTTAAAAGAGCTCGTGTGGACGCCCTCAGACCCCGCAGGGCGCAGGAGGAGTGACGGCCAATCCATCCTTGCTTCGGGTCCTCGGACATCTTGGACTTGTTGCTTTACAACAGCATGTCTTTAAAAAGTGCTGAAACCTACATCTTCTTTTTAAAAAAGCAGCAGCGTCAAATTAAACGTCTTAAGCTCTGACGCCCTGGGGATGAGAACAACAGGATTGGGTTCCGTGCCATGGAGTCTGACGGTTCATTCTGCCGCCTCAATCGCGGAGCAGAACCGCTGTCCAGAGAGGCAGCTAACTGGAAACAGCGGACGCTGAGGGCGGGAGGCCTGGGGGGCGATGCCCACCCCCCATTTTTTTTTTTTTTTTTTTGCCTCTGAGTGGCCCTAGCACCCTGGCTCCATTTCTGGGCAGAGGGAGGGAGGAGGGCAGGGAGAAGCCCTCTGAGGAGGGCTCTGTCTGAACCTGGAATTAACAAGGCACCGCCAGGCCTGGTGCTATCTCAGACCCCGTCCAGTGATGCTGCCATTCATGAAATGCCAACTGTCTGCAAGCTGGAATCTCTTCCATTGGTGACCTTGCAGATCCCGACCTCCGCTGAGCCTCACCGTCACTGGTTAACGTCCTTGTGTGAGAAGGTGCACGTGCCTCATGCACTTTGGGGAAGGGTGTGTCTGTAAGTTAATAAAGAACGTCCCCGCCTGCCGTGCAAAGAGCGTCACTGTCTGTTCCCACTGTGAGCACTGTTCCAGGAGGCACGGGTCCCCTTCCCCGCCCGCCAGTCCCTGCGCCTGAGAAGGGAACACTGACCCTCCAGCATCTAACGAAGAGGGTTAGGAAACGCCATCGCTATTTTAGTACCAAAGTATAGATACAGAAACAAGGCTTTTCTGTAAGTGTTCTAGACAGTTCCAGTTTTATAATGGGTCCATTTTACGTTTAAACATTTTGGGCGTGGCTTTTAGGTGGCTGATGTACGGGTTTGAAGGTCTCCAGGAATAAATTTCCAGGTAAAATTAAGCTGCTATAACCTTTGAATACGGAGGGAACATGCATTAGGAACGTTAGTAACCCAGTGTGATGCGGCAGAGGCACCTCTGTCACTTGGCCGAAAGTCCGGTGAGGAGCTGACACTTGCAGCTCTCCCTGACCGGCACCCTTTCCCGCACCCGCATGGCGCGGCGTGAAGCCAGAACGCCCCTTCTGTCTGGATGGCTCCTCACGCATCTTAACGTCTGCAAAAACAGACCCGTAGGCTCCCCCTGGCCGAGGGACTGCGGGACCCGTGGGACGCCTTGTCGGCACGGAGGTCTAGGCGTGCCGCCGCGGGGCCTCCCCGAACGTGCTCAGGATGGCATTTCGAAAACGTGTGAATTCTGAGCAGGTGCCCGGGCTGCAAGCGGTCACTGCCCTGCTGTGCTGGCCTCGGCAACAGGCCTTTGCACGGCCGCAGAACCTTTTCCCGGGAGGGCTCTGGGCAGCTGACGTGCCCTGCTGGTCGCTAGTCCGTGGCAGCCCAGGCAGCGGTCCCCAACCTTTGCACCTCTTTGGCACCAGGGACCAGTTTCATGGAACATGATTTTCCCATGGACGGGGGGTGGTGGTTTCGAGATGATCTAAGTGCATTACATTGACTGGACACTTTATTTCTATAATTATTACATCGTAATATGTAATGAAACAATTATACAACTCACCGTAATGCAGAGTCCGTGGGAGCCCTGAGCAGCTGTAAATACAGATGAAGCTTCGGTCCCTCGCCCGCCGCTCACCGCCTGCCTTGTGGCCCGGTTCCTAGCAGGCCGTGGACAGGTCCTGGTCTGTGGCCGGGGGGTTGGGGCCGCAGCCCTGTTGGACGGGGGAGCTAGCTCTTCCCATTCATCCAGTTGTCTTCTTCCCTCCCTTCCTCTCTCTCCTTCCTTTTTTGTTGTTCTTGCATCTCCTCACACCCACCCCCCTGCTCGCTTCCCCTCTCTGATCTGTCCTTTTAGAGGCTGGGGCTGATGTGGGAACACCGTGGGATGGCCTCCCCACCAGAGCCAACCAATACGTGGAAGGCCGCTTAAAACTGGCCCCCAGCCTTGGCTCTGAGAAACCTGGTGCTCAAGGCATGTCCCAGACCAGCCACATCAGCTCGGCTGGGGGTAGACCCAGGCTTGAAGCTTCCCAGCTTCAAGTGACCCAAGATGCAGCCTAAACTGACAGCTACTGACTTACACGATCCATTTGAACAGGGACCGGAATTTCATGGAAAACAGGGACAAGCTAAGAAAAGATTGGATTGTGACTTTGCACTGAAAAAATAAATCTCCAAATTAAGAACATAGGTTAAATCTGTCTTGCGTTTAACAAAATTTGTTTATGTAGACAAAATAGGAATTATAAGGCCAAGAAATACTTCACACAGACGAATAAATAAGAAATAAAGCAACATACCAGGACCTCATCACTGTTCCCCGGACGCATGGAGAGCTTCTCTCCTTCCTTTGGTTTTTAATAGTCTTCTTCTGCAGTTCCTGTCCTCTCATCCTTCCTGGGTTGCTTTTTTCTTTCTTCACTCGTTAGCTGGTTTCCAGTGACCAGAACCTCAGTGCCTGTGGTTCAAGTACTTCTCCAACATCTGTTTCATCAATTTCAGCAAAGCCTGCATCTTTGCAATATTTGCAATTTTACTTTGTTTACGTTGTGTTAGCATTTTAAACATTTTCAACTTCTAACGGTAAGGAAGAGGAATCAACTTGAAATTGGCATGGAGTGGGAGGGTATCAGTTAAGACTACATTTGGTTACAAAAGATAGACGATCATGAATAGTGGCTCTACCTCATGGTGTAAAGTGGCTGCCCATGCTCCGGGCACCTGATTGATGCGTAGTCAAGCTTGAGAACCCCTGAACCCAATTAAAGAAAGTTAACTTCTGAATGTCTGGTTTTCCATTGTTTTGAGATACAGAATTGACTCTCTAGCAGGAATTGTGGAAATATCTTCTGTTTTCCTGTGAGGTTTATTTTATCCTGTTTTAGCCGTGTCTGTATAATCATTCGTGCATTCATTCAACAAGTCTTTATTGGCGTGATTGGGCCAGGTACTGCTCCAGGGGCTGCGGTTGCAGCGGTGAACAAAAGCTTAGAGGACTAACTTCCTAGAGGGGCTGCACAGTTGGCGTGTGTGCTGACGAATTCTTCTTGAAAGCGTCTACTGAGGAGTCCTCTCTAACAAAGGAGTTAGGATGCAAAGTCGCTGAGAGCAGGACCTGCAGGGCTGTTAAGCCCCAGCTCCTTCTCAGGATAAAATCCCCACCCAAGATGCTGCATGTAATTTCTAAGAGGATCTTCGTAGGCGCTAAAGGAATTTCTGGGAAAAAAAACGCATACAAGAAAGGTGGGAAGGGGGTGTCAGTTAAAAGGAATGACTTCATCTCTATCTGTGGCCACAATCTATTTTAGAGAGATTATTTTACAGTCTACCTCTTCTTTCATAAAAGGACTCATGAATAGTCTTTAAAAAAAAATCCAGGCTGAGAAAAATGTCTTTCCAGAAAATGACACAATTCTGCTAAACGACAAAAGCTTTCTCCGTGGGGTGGGTGGCGAGAGAGAGGGGGAGAGGGAGAGGAGAGAACACAGCCACACTTTTTCAGTAGAAGCCTTTGACGCCACTTAGGCATTTGGAGGGCCTCGACTGTCAGAAGAGTCGTGCTTCATTTAAAAGGGACTGTCCTCTCTGGTATCAGCATTTTCATCTTGGCATCTAATATAAAAAATATGGTAAACATTCCCCCAAATCAGAAAGGTTAACAGCCAGATGTTTGCAAGAAGCCAGAGGATGAGGAGCCAGGCAATAGAGTGGACGAGCTTTCTGACTTGGTATTTGGTACTCATTTCTCAGTTTTAGAAATATCTGGAAAAACAGCTTACGAAGACTGCAGACCTGCTAGATTCCAGGTGGCGAAGGCTCCCCTCTCTCGGTGGTTTTCTGTCCTGTCTCCCCTGGTGTCTCAGTGCATTCGAGGGCTCGGGGGCCACATA